ATGGTGTTGCAGCGAACGAAAAGATGGTAATCTGATGGTGCTATATCTGGATAATATTTTCGTGCGTGATCTATTTGCTGAAGATTCATTAAAATGGTCTTAGTAAGTTTTTAGTATGGTGGTAAAGGCGAAAGTAGACAAGCCGAACATATTTATTTATCTTTTTAGGAAAAGGAAGTTATCTAATAATGTGAAAGTGCTGATAAGTCTTTAGTCATCTCATATATTTGGCCTTTTCTTCATTTGGTAAAGTTCTTTTCTGAAACAACTGGTTATAGATATATATATCATGTATTATGTTTGGAAGCATGCATCTGGGAGAGAGACTAATGATTACTGGCATAACTATAAGCCATACTGAGAAAAGTGGTGAAATTGAAGCCTGAGGTCAACTGGATAGTCAAAATCAAGTAGAGCAACTCAATGACGTGTTTGTTATATTGATAATACTACTCTACTAATCAGAAGCAAGAGCTAGATATTTTTCATAAACCTTGGAGCTTCGAGCTAGCAAGAAGACTGACTCCTTAGTTATTGGTTGGCTAGAAACCAACTGTAGGCCTTTGTATTTACTGTTAGTCCTGTGGTGGTGATGTAAAGTAGATCAGTCTACCAAGCTTCAAAGGTATCACAAAGAATTGTTTCTTTAAGCATTTAAGCATTTCGGACAAGCAATGTATGGAATGACTAGATTAGGTCAGGCAGCGTAAAATTGGATTTTGTCAAGCATTTGAATGAGGAACAACTTAGTGACTGGAAACTTCTGTAAATGAGTTGTGACAAAAAATTCCACCAAGCACAAAAGAGATCCATCTACTAACAAAAATCAAAATTGAAATAGTGTGAGTGCTACAGAGAATTTGGCCATATTTGCAGATAACTTGCATTGTCTGTATGAGAAGACATATCTCAGTAACTCAGTAGTAGATTTTGAGGAGATCTTTATTATCAACTTCATAAAAGGCATTACAAGAGATCTATTCAACACCAAACAAACTGCTAGAAAGAGACCTAGAATATGCCTTTGAAATGCAATATCTAAAAACGTTTTGTAGATAACTCAAATCGTCAATACCCCCAACACTATAAATTGTCATTGTACAGCCACAGTAGATACCATTAGGCAGAGAAGACTTACCAGAGCTTACTGCCATGGCTGCGTTTCCACTACAACAGTTCGACCCCTACAGGTAGTTATATACTAAAATAGATGAAGTGCAACCTTTAATTTTGGAGTGATTGAGTATTTGGGAAGGAAATATTAATATATTTTCAGAGCAGAGAGTGAGTTTCTTTCTGACTAATTGCCAAGCAAAAGTAGGAAGATCGACACTTTGCAGTAGTTGATGCAATCAGTATGGTTAGGATTGAAACCAATTATCAGTTAAAACAGCCTTGGTGACGCCTCAAAAGACGTGGTGACATTACTTTCCAAACTGTTGACTTGAAATTGTTTGGAGGCTGTTTACAGAATATGATGTGAAAAGCATTCTATCATAGCAGCAAGAATGGGTGATGATACTGAATATAGTATCTAGTAGTTACAATACCTCATACATCTTCAAGTTAAAAGGATTAAGAAACCATGATTTCTGAGCACATAAATTTAATTCTTTAGTAAACACTCCAGTTTTTTTCCTTAGAAGAAACACTATTCATAATACTTGCTACTTCGTCTGTGCATGTGTGATTTTATACTGTATTCACATACAAAGTCATACAGTATGATTAGGATATGAATGACCCTTGTACCTTTGAAGCAAACAACGAGAGTATTATATTCAAAACAGCACGAGAAATAATTAGTTCAAAGTAAATCACATTGGAAAATCCCTTGTTTGTGTTGAAATTTGCTAAATGATTCTAACGATATGGGAGGTAATGATTTTTTGACAAAAAAATGGAGGTATAGCAGTGAATAGGTGTTGTTAACTGGCTAAAATTAAGTGTTCTTTCGTGTTTACTACTGTACCTCTTCAGTATTTCCCTAGTAGATAATATGTATAGTGGGGTCCAGTTTGTATAAATTACAGGGGAACAATCCTAATTTTGTAGTATTTCTAATGCAATTGTTTTCAAGTATTACAAATTGAGTGGGTTTTCTGACTCATGCATGGAGGTACGGTAGCAAGCAAAAACATAGATATTGCTATTCAGCCATGACAGTGAAAAATTGTAACCGTTGGTCACTCTACAGAGTCATAAGTCACTATGTCATACGTTATAGGTAAGTACATTTATTTAATATGTGATGTTGTACATATTTGTACATCAATATACATGTGTTGTTGCATCATAAATGAATGTTCTCATGTATACTGTGTACTCGCACATCAATATATATACAGGTAGCTCAAGCATTAGGCAGTAAAAGTTGGTCTGAATATTGAATCATGTTGTGTCAGGTAAAGTTGCTGTTATTAGCCTGTTTTACATCATGTAAAAATGGCACCGATAAAAAATATACTCAATTTTACAAAATTAAAATATTCATATCTGTATTTTCTTTGGTTTAATTGTGATACGTAATTTTAGAAAATTTAAATATTCGTAAACTTATTTGCTGGAAATTTCGTTATTTTGTTTCTGTACGGAAATTAGTGTTATATAGCCTGAAGAATATTACTTGTTTTTCAAGTTTTATTAAGCTGAAACATAGCTCAGTTACAGATAGAATATCAGTCTTTTACTTATCCCTAGTGTCTGGATAAGAATATGGTTAATGTTTG